GTATCTTAACGACAAATTTCCCACGATCGTTCTCGAAGCGTATCTTAACGACAAATTTCCCACGATCGTTCTTCTCGAAGCGTATCTTAACGACAAATTTCACGATCGTTCTCGAAGCGTATCTTAACGACAAATTTCCCTCGACGATCGTTCTCGAAGCGTATCTTAACGACAAATTTCTCGAAGCGTATCTTAACGATCGTTCTCGAAGCGTATCTTAACGACAAATTTCTCACGATCGTTCTCGAAGCGTATCTTAACGACAAATTTCCCACGATCGTTCTCGAAGCGTATCTTAACGACAAATTTCTCACGATCATGCTCGAAGCGTATCTTAACGACAAATTTCCCACGATCGTTCTCGAAGCGTATCTTAACGTCAATTTTCCCACGATCGTTCTCGAAGCGTATCTTAACTACAAATTTCTCACGATCATGCTCGAAGCGTATCTTAACGTCAAATTTCCTACGATCGTTCTCGAAGCGTTGCTAAAAATACAAACACATCATCGTCATCATGTCCACAGACAGAACCTAAATTAACCAATGTGGTGGTGGTGGTGGTGCTGATGGTGTTGGTGGACCCAACCATTGTGTATGGGTACCCGTCTACATATGTGCATATATGTGTGAGGAAAAGCGTGCTTATATGCGCGGAAAGACGATCTGAAAAACATCAAGACTACCCCATTTGTTCCTTGCTATAAGAACATTGCTACATATGTAATGCTAAGGTCTCGACACCGAAAGAGAATGACATTTGCGTATATATATTTTCGGGCGGATGCATGTGTATTTGCGCCTAAACTCAGATTGTTTGTCTGGGTGTGTCTGCGCGTATTGGGTTGCATACAACTGTATGTATGTGTTTCTATGGACGTAAGAGTGTAATTCCAAACATACCCTGAAGATAATTTCCTCTCCACCACGCACAAATAAGGAAACATAATTAATCCTAAATAGATCCATTAAAAAAACAGTTTGTCTGATATTGCAAACGCATGAAACTCAGGGTTACAAACTAATATCCATACAACTGAATATGTTAGCTCTATCACAAATATTGAACACTTCCCACCAAGTACTGCATATATATATATATATATATATATATATATATATATATATAAAGAAATAATCATACATAGAATCAATCAGCAATATTAATCCAATTAATGGCGAAATCACTTCGCTAGTAGAACATAATGCATGCATTAAAATAATGTTAATCCATTGAATGAGGTGATCCTCATTTATAAAATTGTTGTCAGATGTTTCTAGTGTATATTTTTTAAATTCAAGCAAGTACTTTCGAAGATCTATGTCTTCATCATCAGGCTGTAATTTTTTTCCTTTAAAGTTAAAATTTGAAGACGAAATAATTGTTTGTAGATCGAAAGATGTTCTTTTAAGGAATGTGCTATTTAATGACGGTTGTACAATCTCGGAACGTGCGAGTCGCAACGCTAAAGTTCAAAATTTCAAGTGAGAATTTTTATATGAATTTTGTAATATGGTAAATCCACGAATTCTTTTTTTACAAGTGTTTTTCAGTTAACATGACATGAACTAAGTATATAGTTCAATTAATATAGTGATATGTCGTAGTAGTTTTTTTCTCAGGAATTTCGCACTGCGGGATCAATTGTTTTTTATAAACATTATGTTCTGCTAGCGAAGTGATTTCGCCATTAATCGCATTAATATTGCTGATTGATTCTATGTATGATTATTTCTTTATATATAAAATATATGCTGCCTAATATATATATATATATATATATATATATATATAAAGAAATATGTAAAAAAATATAGAAAATAGGAAGGTTAGGTAAATAATCCAAAAGTCCCTTAGTATTTTAGTTATTATTATTTTTAAAAATAGTGCTCGATAAAAAGTAGAGTATAAATATAATTATTTATTTAAAAATATGATTCCATAAGAGAATTTTCATGTTTTGTAATATAAAACAAGAGCCGAAACTTCAATATAATCCTTTAAATTAAGCGAAATTTTGTTGGATTCCAAGGAAAAATTTCGCTTGAAGATGGAACAGATTGCCCATTTACTTTCAACTCAATTTAATTTAAAGGATTATATTGAAGTTTTCGGCCAAAGTCTTGTTTTTTAGAAACATGAGGCCTCTTATGTAGCGATTTGGAATCATATTTTTAAATAAATAATTATATATATATATATATATATATAAATGTGTGTGTTTGTGTGTGTCTATTCAACTGTCTTGCAAGCTCATCCACTGCTTTATCTTATGTGATACGTTCTTAAGAGTGAAATAAATAATTATGCCTTCTGGTTTTATAGCCAAAATGGAATCTTTACTGGAAGATATCGCATCACTAACCACTTGACCAAATTCTAACAAATAGTATTTCGTTTTGCTGAACCGTATTCTTCCTTGTTTGACCAGGAACGTTTCAGCAATCTTTCGTATTGCGCGTAGATATCAAACGTTGATGCTTGTGTTGTCCATCCAAGTAGAGAAAACAAAATAAAATACCGTCCCCCAAGCCAACGACGACTTCAAAGGTAAGACTGAAGCATCCTGGTTCAAAGTTAAATAAGGAATCCGCTCAAGGTATTATAAACGGGTGGCACTTTTGCAGGTTGTAAGGCGACTGAAGTACTTTTAAGTAGGATTATATCCTTTGGATCTCGTAACAGCTGTTGCGTTCCCGTGTTTACTCTTTTCGAGAGATCTCTGGAAGTGACGTCAAGACAGAATTTTATTATATAAATCCAGATTCAAATTCCTGGAAAGATTTTGTGTCAAGAGCTGCAACTTATAAACTTCGATATTTACTTTTGCGTTATCCAACGTGTCCTTTATTATTTTTTATAGATATTGTGGGGTCTGGTAGTACCATTGACGCCTGGCACGCTGCACCCTCGAATGGCACCACCTGGCCTCTACCATTATATCTCACCTTGCGCGAACATGGCACCACTGGACGAAGGGCATCCTCGACGTAGGCCACTGGCCAGGGCGGAAGAGGAAGCCGCGTGTTCAGGATCAAGGCTAGTTACCTAGTTGGAGGACATCGATTGTGGATAAAGCAGTAGATGTGCTTGCAAGGCGGTTGAATACACACACACACACACACACACACACACACATATATATATATATATATATATATATATATATATGCGCGGTACTTAGTGGAGAGGAATGGACTCCACCAGGTTAAAACACCTAAAACACGCCACATGATGAGCACGTCAAGAAGCCATTCGCGGAAGCCCAGGCTCTGCCACAAGACCGAGACAAATGGAGTGGGAAGACGGAGGGATCAGCTGATCGGCGCGCCAATGAATCTTTCCCGGGTTAAGGGCGAAAGAAGAAGCCGATAGAATTGAGAAGCTTTAATTTTAAATAAGATTATTGAAACTATATATACATATACATACATACATACATACACATACACACACACACACACACACATATATATATATATATATATATATATATATATATATATATATATATTCTGCGATCGTTACCATCGCATAGCAAACTACTATGTAAACATAACAGGATGTTATTATCTTTGATGGTGAACATTCCTGTTGTAATGTCCATATAACCACTCTGATGATGGTTCATGTGAGCCGAAATGCTTAGATCGACGAAGAGCATAATGAAAAATATCCAAATATTGGACAGAAACAAAAAGAAAACAGTATCTCCATCAAAATAAAATGGGAAAATTATAAAAAAAAAGGCCAGCCTCATTCCGTATTAACAGTAAAAATTTTAAGTTATGCTTAAAGGAAAATTAGTTTGAAAAACCCAAATAAACACTTAAATAAGAAAACTGAAAAAATGGTTAAATGTAGGCAAAAAAATATTTAATTTGCCATCTAAGAACTAACTAAAATAGACAAATAAATATAAATGAAATAAATACAATATAAATTCCAATAAATGAAATAAAAGTTAATAATACAAACGTTAAATAAATAAATATATGAAATAAATATCCTATATTTATTAATAAATTGTCATGGATCCTTACCTATAACTACAGAATGAACTCTTCCTAACACCATGTATACTACGCCTCTCAAGAGAGGGGACTAATCCAGTCGAGCTTCTTGGCTTGCCTCTGACAGTCGAACTTTTCAGGGAGGTTGCCTCTGAGCAACCTACGGGCCTGTGCCACATACGCAACCCTCGTTGGAGGAACCCAAGGACGAGGTCGAACTCTCTGCTCCGCCCCAGAAGGGCAGAGTCTCGTTCAGGTCGGTTGACCAACCCAATTCTGTTTTTACAGTTTCTACGGACATTTTTTGGCCGAGCCTATGGGCTCGGGAAGCCCACGTTAAACTCGCCCTTGTGCCACATGCAACCCTCGTTGGGGGCTAGATACCGAATCTACCTTGTATTATTATTTCGTGTAATATACCATCGTTATTTCTACTCTTGTGTTCGTGTTGTTCTTCCTGGGTCCTAACCTGGACCATAACATAAATAAATAAACGAAAAAATATTAACATAGACATCTATGCCTGTGGGTGCATATGTACATATGAATATGTACACACGCACATGCAAACACCAAAAAAAAAAAAAAAATTCATTGCATTCTACACGTACGCACATCTTTTCATCAATATACACTCACTTTTTAACCTTTTATATTTTTTTTCTTTTTTTTTCTATTCTTTTAATTGCTAGCATTTGATCTTTTTCGGTTTTTCAAAACTGACTGTCATCGTTAATATTTTAACGTTCTTGTCTGTACGGATACTCGAGTGAAGACAGAGAGACAGACAAAAAAGTGTCATATATTTCCCATTGATAATACAGGGTGGGGCAGAGCAACTTGCTTATTTAAATTTGGCGCCCTAAAGCGATGGTTGCTCCAAGGATGGTAGGGATGGACTTATTTGAGAGGGTGGGGCTTAAAGTTTGGTTCTTAACGTGCGTTATTTATTTTTTGTTTATTTTTCAGGAACCCCAGTGAGCATCATGGAGTGGACGAAGTTGGAACGCGCTTTCGCTGTTGAGGCATTTTTTTTTTCAAGCGGTCGCTCAATCGTCGCAACGCAACGTGCATTCCGTAGACATTTCAATATTGCCCCCCGTGGTCGTGTTCCTGGCCGGCAGTCGATTGTTTCATGGGTAAACAACTTCAGGGAAACGGGTGATGTAAAGAAAAAGAAACCTGGCCTCCTACGAACAGCAAGGTTACCCCAAAACATTGACGCGGCGAGACGCGCCGAGAATGGACGCAATCTTACTGATATCATCTTTAAAACTGGTAAAAAATACAATTTAAATGTTGAACTAGTTGCAGTTCAAAGAATTACATGTATACCTGCATTACTTGTGTTTTAATTGATATTCCAAATAAGCAAGATGCTCTGCCCCACCCTGTATACAACATGGTGACATAATGCACGACACGAAACTATGTTCAGAATACATAACAGAATAGTGGCTAAAAGTGATTTTGAGCGAATGAATCGTGTAGGTCGTAGCAAGCGCCATCTTTCTACGTAACCTGTGGACTGGAGCGACTGAAAACCAAAGACCTGTACCAACTAACAGAAACCACATCACTTGAGGACTGCCAAAAAAACAGCAAAAAAAGAAATGGAAAGAAAATGAAAAAGAAAATTGTTGTTACACGTTAATCGACGAGAAAAGGGTGACATAATTATGATTTGAAACTTCCATCCTTATTCCTGGGTATAACGATAAACTACATCCAGCAACAAGCACTCTGATCGGGAAATTAGAACTTTTGAAGGACGGGGAAAACATCTTGATTGCTGTTGTTCCCATGTCAACCCTGACCTGCAGGTGGTAGCACCAGTTAGGGTCCCAGCTATGGGAAACTAGTGAAGATCCAAACAAAACAAAACACTATGAAAGTATAAAAATACATTTTGATATGAAAATAATTAGCAACAATACTTATTCATAGCAAATTACCAACAATGCCTATTCATAGTAAGATTAACAATAGTACGTATAATTACCAACAATGCCAATTTATAGAAAATTACCAACAATATCCATTAATAATAAAATTAACACTAATACATATTTATAGAAACATTATTAATTTATAGAAAATTACCAAAAATACAAATTTATAATAAAATTACCAATGATACATATTTATAGAAAATTACCAACAATACCTATTTATAGTAAGATTACCAACAATAGATATTATAGAAAAATTACCATCAATACCAATTTAAAGGAAATTAACAATACTAATTTGTTGTAGAATTTCCAACAATAGATATTTATAATATATTTAGTTGTAGCTATAAAATTGTGTTAAGAATATTTGAATTCTCGCATTAAATACCCATAGACGTGTTGATATGCAGCTAGACAAATCAACCAACCAATCAAATTCTTTCCATACTACTTCGAATAAAAGGTTATAAAGGAAACACCATTAAATACAGAAAAGAGCGATAACAGTTACTGAAATTGTAAAATTTATTTTCCTAAAAAAACATTGTTTTAATCGAACGATTTTATAAATTTCAATCGAGAATAGCATTGCCATTTTGGTTCACGAATTCCGAGTGTTTCTTCACAAGGAAACGGCTATTATTGCCGTTAGCATCATGATCCTTGCGTACATCCTGAAAGTTCTAGGAACATAAAACAAAGGGAAAGCTTCTTTTATTTTTAGCATCATGTTACGAGGGCCATTCCTCTACTAATAGTTTTCTCTCCAAGAGTGAAGTCATTACGATAAAAGAAGCCCCATTGAAAATCCCGGAGGTACAACCGGAATTCTTCAGAACACGTTCTGAAATAAATTGAGTCCTTCTACAAGACAACGACTCAAAGCATCTTTCAAAATTAGTACCAAGCTAATTCCGAAGCAAATTAATATTCAAGAATGAAAGTTACAGAATCAAAACCCCAGACTCCACCATAGAAATCAATGGAAAACGATACAGTGATGCATGCGTGGAAGTTAGGATTTCGAAATTTCTCAAAGATTAAATGTAATTTAACAAGGATAAATTATTTTAAATATCAGAATTCTGCATAAAGATTATTGTGAGTACGTAAGCAAATAAGGGCCGTAAAGATATCAAAATTAAAAAATAATCTGAATTAAGAGAATAAAAAATTACCACTATACACCGATCATTGGATTGCCTTAGGCGATGATAGAACTAATTTCAACTCGGAACCTGAAAAGTGTAATTTGCAGTTCAAGCCCCGCGTTTAGTTTCTAATAAAGATTTCCTGAATAGTTCCATGTGGGGATAAATGTACATGCCTCATTCGAAAATAACAAAGAAATTTTGATTAACTCTACCGTTTTGGAGCTATCGTCAATTAAAGTTCGGGTTCATTCGCGTCGCGGTGGGTGAAGTCGAAATTAATTTTGCAACCCTTTTTTTATTTTATCTTGCAGCAACCTACCTTCTGTCTTCTTATAACTGATAGCTAGTCCTTTCTTCGTGCTTTCCTTTACTAACTTGTCTAGTGTGAGGTTGGAGATATTTCAATTTTTTTTTAAATCTTTTGTAAACTTGAGCCATATCAACAGATTTGGTTCCAGTTTAAACAAGACCAATATGTAACTCTTTGACGTTAGTGTAAAACCGGACCTATGTCAAGATTTTTCTTTAACGTTTGGAGGAAAAACAGACTATTGCCTACCTTTAGACTCTAGTGTAAATCTGGACCTATCCCTAACTTTTTGACTCTAATCTGAGAATGGATGTTTTCACTTTTTAAATCTTTTGGAAACTGGATCAAAGGTGATTTCAAAGTGTAGCTTAGATCTAGCACAAGGCCGAAAGGAAGAGGCAAACAGTGACGATCAAATTCAATATTCAGTTGTAGGACAAATGGAGCTATATCTCCGGTTATACCAAAAGCATAAACCAGACCAATATGCATCTTTTGGGGTGACAGAACTAATTTCAACTCGAGTGCAATTTGCAGTTCAAGCCCCGAGCTTTGTTTCTAATAAAAGTTTCCCAAATAGTTCAATTTTCAGATGCCATATTGTTTGTTAACGAATAGGTCGCGAGAGGTAAGATGATTTACTATTTACTGATTAAGGCCTCGAATACTTTGTCAAAAAAGCGGTAGGAGACTAATAGAGTAACAGAGAGGTCAGAAGGTTCCCCATTTTTCTTAAAAACAGGAACTAAAGAGGAGGACTTCCAACAAGCTGGAAAGCAGTATGAACCGAGTTAATTGTTACAGAGTTTGGAGAACACTGGAGCCAGGTCTTGAGCATTTTTCTTTAGAACGACGGCCGGCATCCCGTTATATCCATTTGCCTCATGTGTGTCTTATTTAGAAATAATGTATGAGTATAGCCTCTGTTTTAGGAGTGAAATCAGGTGTGGGTACTTTAATAGAGTCAAGTGTTGATTTGGAAGCTTATCCGCTGTAGAGGTCAGGACTTCGAATTGATTATATAGAGGAGGGACGAAGAATTTGCTGGTGGTCAACACACTCTTGCAGAGCCATCAATAATCTTTAGAACCAAGCTTGCGAGATGTTATATGTTGATTCATTTTCTCAGCAAAGAGTAACTTCCCTTCTTTGTTGGCACGCTTACTCTCGTTACAAGCCGAGACGTCTGTTGTGCTCAGACGAGTCACTCCGGTAAATCCGGAAGAAGTGATTCCTGCAGGCTATATTGGTAGAAGACAAATAGAGTAAAAGAGGTGTCAGACGGTTCCCTAGTGTTCTTAAAAACAGGAACTACAGAGGACTTCCAACAAGATAGGGAGCAGTAAGAACTGAGGTAATTGTTACAGTTTGGAGAACACTGAAGCCAGCTCTTGAGCACTTTTCTTTAGGACAACGGCTGGCATCCCGTTATCTCCAATTGCCTCATGTGTGTCTTATTTAGAAATAATGCATGAGTATAGCCTCTGTTCTAGGAGTGAAATCAGGTGTGGGTACTTTAATAGAGTCAAGTGTTGATTTGGAAGCTTATCCGCTGTAGAGGTCAGGACTTCGAATTGATTATATAGAGGAGGGACGAAGAATTTGCTGGTGGTCAACACACTCTTGCAGAGCCACCAATAATCTTTAGAACCAAGCTTGCGAGATGTTATATGTTGATTCATTTTCTCAGCAAAGAGTAACTTCCCTTCTTTGTTGGCACGCTTGCACTCGTTACAAACCGAGACGTCTGTTACACTCAGACGAGTCGCTCTGGTACATCCGGAAAGAGTAATTCCTGCGGGCTATAGCGGCTGAGTATGTAGGTGAAACACAAGGAGATGAATGCTGTTTAACTTGCTCTTTCCTTGCTTTCACCCCGGAGGAAACCTCAGATATCGTATTGTTTGTTAAAGAGAGGTAAGATGATTTACTATTTACTGATCAAGGGATCGAATACTTTGCCAAAAAACGTTAGGGGACTGATAGAGTGACAGAGGGATCAGAAGGTTCCCTAGTGTTCTTTAAAACAGGAACTACAGAGGAGGACTTTCAACAAGCAAGAACCGAGGTAATTGACGTTAGTGTAAAACTGGACCTATGTCAAGATTTTTTTTTTTAACTTTTGGGGGAAAAACAGACCTTTGCCTACCTTTAAACTCTAGCGTAAATCCGGACCTATCCCTAGCTTTTTTACTCTAATGTGAGAATGAACATGTTTTCACTTTTTAAATCTTTCTGAAACTGGATCAAAGGTGATTTCAAAGTGTAGCTTAGATCTGGCACAAGGCCGAAAGTAAGAGGAAAACAGTGACGATCAAATTTAATATTAAATTGTAGGACAATTGGAGCTATATCTCCGGTTATATCAAAAGCTTAAACCAGACCAATATGCATCTTTTGGGGTGACAGAACTAATTTCAACTCGAGTGCAATTTGCAGTTCAAGCCCCGAGCTTTGTTTCTAATAAAAATTTCCCAAACAGTTCCATTTTCAGATGCCATATTGTTTGTTAACGAGCAGGTCGCGAGAGGTAAGATGATTTACTATTTACTGATTAAGGCCTCGAATATTTTGTCAAAAAAGCGGTAGGAGACTAATAGAGTGACAGAGAGGTCAGAAGGTTCCCTATTTTTCTTAAAAACAGGAACTAAAGAGGAGGACTTCCAACAAACTAGAAAGCAGTATGAACCGAGTTAATTGTTACAGAGTTTGGAGAGCAC